CAGGGTCCTCGACTGCCTTCCCAGGCCACAGGCAGGGAGCTGGATGGGAAGTGGGGCTGCTGAGATTAGAACCGGCGCCCATATGGGATCCCAGGCGTGCAAGGCGAGGACCTCAACCACTGCACCATTGTGCCGGGCCCTTCTCCGTATCTGTTAAAAAATCTTGTTCTCACTGTGTGTACGTGCATGGATGCCTCTGCTTTGAATTTTTATCTCTGAAGATTGAAAAGTAACATCCTTGGGGCTGGCACTCTGGCATAGCAAGCAAAACTGCTGCCTGTGATACCAGTGTCCCATAAGAGCACCATTTCAAGTCCCAGCTGCTCCATTTCTGATCCAGTTCACTGTAATTATTTATTAAGCAGCAGAAGATGGGCCTCTTGTACCTCTGAATGAGACCCAGTTGAAGATCCTGGCTTCGGCCTGGCCCAGCTGTGTCCGTTGCAGCCATGTGGGGAGTGAACCAGATGAACAGAAGGTCTCTCTGTGTTTCTCTCTTTCTCTGCAACTCTGCCTTTCAATTAAGTAAGAAAATCACTTTTTAAAGATCTATTAATTTTTTTTTATTAGAAAGTCAGATTTACAGAGAGGAGGAGAGACAGAGCTAAAGGTCTTTCATCTGTTGAATCACTCCACAAGTGGTTGCAATGGCTGGAGCTGAGCTGATCCGAAGCCAGGAGCCTGAGTCTTCCATGTGGGTACAGGGTCCCAAGGCTCTGGGCTGTTCTCGGATGTTTTCCCTAGCTACAAGCAGGGAGCTGAAAGGGAAGTGGAGCAGCCAGGATAAAAACTGGTGTCCATATGGGATCCCTCCCGGCACGTTCAAGGCAAGGACTTTAGCCACTAGGCTACCGTGCTGGGTCCAAGAAGCAAATCTTGGGCCCGGCGCGGTGGCGCAAGTGGTTAAGTCCTCACCTTGCACGCCCGGGATCCCATATGGGCGCCGGTTCTAATCCCGGCAGCCCCGCTTCCCTTCCAGCTCCCTGCCTGTGGCCTGGGAAAGCAGCCGAGGACGGCCCAAAGCTTTGGGAACCTGCACCCGCATGGGAGACCCGGAAGAGGCTCCTGGCTTCGGATCGGCATAGTATCGACCCGTTGCGGCTCACTTGGGGAGTGAATCATCGGATGGAAGATCTTCCTCTCTGTATCTCTTCTCTGTATATCCACCTTTCCAATAAAAAATAATAAAAATAAATCTTTAAAAAAAAAAAAAAAAAAAAAAAAAGAAGCAAATCTTGAAAAAAAAGAAAAGAAAAGATGCTCAGGCCCACACCAAATGTTTTTAACTACTGTACTAGATAAATTGCTCCAACACGGCTGAGAAGCATTCATATTTATTTGCAGGATGCAAGGGTGTGAACTTTTTTTCTCTCTTCTTCTCTTGGTAAATCTGACTTTCCAATAAAAATAAATAAATCTAAAAAAAAAAAAAAAGCAGCTTATTGGAGCTAAAATCAGGTATGCCTTTTTCTAGAATAATAGAGAAACAATAGCTTAATCAATAGCCTAAACATGTGAATGCACCTGTTTTCTATCTTGGTTTTGCAAATATTTAGATTAGATTCTCTTTAATTTTATCTGTATTTATTTGAGAGGCAGAGATGTGGGGAGAGACAGAGTTCCCTTCCATGGATTAATTTTCATTGGCAGGCCAAATGCTGCTCCTTGGGCTAGATTCTTTATGGAGCAACTTAAACATTTTTTTTTTTTGAATTATTTTATTTTTTTGGAGCAACTTTTTTTAAAAAAAGCTAAGTTCTCAACTAGTTCCAGATTGGTATTTCCTTCATTTATTTTTCACTATGTTTCCACCTGCCCCTTTTACTGTTGTTGTTTGTTTCTTGGAAGAAGAGTAAGAGGGGGAGGGAGAGAGAGAGGTGTCTCATCTGCTGGTTCACTCCCCAGATGTTTGCAGTAGCTAGAACTGGCCCAGGCTGAATGCAGGGTGAAGAGCTGGAACTCCATCCGGGTCTCCTTCTTGGGTGGGATGATTTTGGCCATCAGTGCTGCCTCTCAGAATGCACTGGAATCAAGAACAGTGCAGGGGACTTGAACCCGGGTACTCTGATGTAGGATGTAGGTATTCCAAAGTTTATCTTAGGACTACAGAAATCTTCATTTTAATCTTTTTCTTCCAAATATCGGTCTAAAATATGGAGTTACAGAGGGAGGAAGAAAGAGATCTTCCCTCTGCTGCTTCATTCCCAAGATGAGTGTAACAGCCAGGGTTGGACCAGATTGAAGCCGGAGCCAGGATCATCTGGGTCTTCCATGGGTGACACAGGGAAACACTTTATTCTTTTTTCCAGGCAGTCAGCTGGGAGCTGGATAGGAAGTGGAACAGCAGCCAGGACAGGATGTGAACCTGCACTTAGAGGAGGGTGGCAACTTAGGTTGTGGCTCTACCCAGCAGGCCACAACATTAGCCATTTTTTTTTCCCCTCATCCCTCCCCATCCTTTTTTTTTTTTTTTCCCTAGAGTTACAGATTGCCAGTATCTTGATCTCTCCCACTGGCTTATATGGCAGCTGTATCTTCACACTTGGGACTCATTCCAATAAAAGGTTTGGGACTCCAAACACAAAGTAGTGGCCAAGCCTCCTGATTGTTACCTTGGTTCAGTGTGATGTGCCATGGAAATTTCCTGCCCTTCCTGCTTGTCCATATGGTCCTGGCTCTGACATTAACAGTGTGACCTCCGGCAAGCCCCTAATGGCCCTGAGCCCCTGCCACCTCAGTTGTAACTTACATGCAGGCATTGCACATGTCTTAAAAAATAGGATAACTATTTCTAGGATAAGCTACGATCCTGGATCAAATGAATTAGATTTGTTAAGAAATCCGATTAAGTCGTGAAGTTTCAGAATAAGGGTTTCTGAGAAGATTCCTATTGGGAACAATGGGGATAAAGAATGAATGCTTTTTTTCTTTTTTTTTTTTTTTAAGATTTATTTATTTTTATTGGAAAGTCAGATATATATATGAAAGACAGAGAAATATCTTCTGTCCAATGATTCAGTCTCCAAGTGACCGCAAAGGCCAGTGCTGCGCCGATCCAAAGCCAGGAGCCAGGAGCTCTTCCGGGTCTCCCACACAGGTGCAGGGTCCCAAGCTTTGGGCCATCCTCTACTGCTTTCCCAGGCCACAAGCAGCGAGCTGGATGGGAAGTGGAGCTGCCGGGATTAGAACCAGTGCCCATATGGAATCCTGGAGTGTTCAAGGTGAGGACTTTAGCTTGCTAGGACACGGCGCCAGGCCCAGAATTTTTGTTCTTAAACAGCAAATTTTAGCTTCCCAGTAAATGCCACATTTATTTAGTGGTATTGCTCTTCACATTAGGCTTTCTACATAAAAAGGAAAAAATTATATGTAATTTCTGGTTTGAGACACCTGGGTCCCATATCACAGTGCATGGGTTTCACGTCCAGTTCTGATCCCGATTCTAGTTTCTTGATGATGTAGACCCTGAGGGGCAGTTCTTGGTGATGGCTTGCGGGGGCCCTGTTACCCAGGTGGAAGGTGGGAACCAAGTCCCCAGCTCCAGGCTTTGTTGCAGGTACTCAGGGGAGTGGACCAGCACGGTGGGAACAGCCATCTCAAATAAATAAGAGACTGGCACCATTTGGGGAGTGAACGCTAAAGCAGATGGAATATTTCTGTCTCTAACATTGGCTTTCAGGTAAATCAACCTTAAGAACACTCTCAACATAATTTGCTTTTGATGGGAATACTCCAGCCACCCCTGAGGATTTTCCCAAGCTCAACTGTTCTAAGTGATGACAGTGAGTGAGGCAGGGATGCTAGCTCACTGATTTGCCTAGGCAGTCCATTTTAGACCTGTTGGAATTAGCCTAAGACAATGCCAACTCGTCAAGAATGATTCAGAGGGGTACACTTCAAGCCAGGAGACAAAGAGCTGTCAGGGAAAGAAGCATCTGCTGCGACAAAGCGTTAGGTTGTTGGGAGGAGAGACTGTAATGCAAGACCGAAATCTGAATACCAGAGCTGCCTGCAAGACGACTTTTAATTCCATAGCAAGTACACCAACACCCGGGTGTATGTAAAAAAAAAAAAGGGGGGGGGGTTCATTTCTTTTCCTGCTTCTTGCTCTGCAGGTGTCCTAGGTTTTCTGTGCTGTCGGGTTCACCCACCCTGCAGTCATTCTCAGGTGTGAGGACTGCGGGGCGCCCCGAGCGCATTCATTCAACTGCTGTAGGGGGAGAAAATGGGCGCGTAGATGAGACTGCCGGGGCTCGCGGTGGGTTTTCCACCTCCCCTGGGATTCGGTCGATGGCCAAGCCCCGCGCCGGCCCCCGAGCGAGCTTCCGCGGCGCTGGCAGGGCCCTGCCCTGGCGCCCAGGTGTTCCTCCTCAGGCTCGCCCTGGGCAGGCCGATTACATCAGCCCAAATCGAGCGGCGTGGCCAGTTTTTCCAACTTGCTGTTCTGCTGGACGCCACCTCTGGCTCCTTAAGGGAACCCGGGGTGGAGCTCGTTCTCGTGTCCCCTGTCACGGGGTGGCTGTCGCCGCGAGGGGAAGAGGGGCCTCCAGGCAGGGACCTCGTCCTAAGCAGGGCGTTTCTCTTGCGTCTACCGGGGGCACCCCTCGGGGCTTGCCCCAGCCGGGTCGCCGCGCCGGGATCCCAGGCTCCATATCTACGGTCAAGCCGGTGCAGCGCCTCGACGCAGTCCTGGGAAGGGAAGGGGGGAGGGTGTCCAGGGACTCCTCAGCCGCGCCGCGCCGCGCCGCGCCTGCGCAGTTGCCTCGGCGGCCCCTCCCGCGGGGCGTGCTCGCACGGCCGCGCACCCTATCAGGCGGCCGCAGGGAGCGCGCCCGCGGCCTCGCCCTCCTTGGCTCCGCCCCTCTCCGCGCTCGGGTTCCGACTCAGACCCGGGGCCCTGGGCTCTCGGCCCCAGCGGGCGCCCACGCCCTCGTGCGCGCGTGCGCAGAGGCGGACCGCAGGGCGAGGGCGCGAGGGAAGGGCGGGCGTACGTCCCTGCGTGCGTCTCAGGCAGCGCGCACGCCGGCGTGAGAGGGCACGGGGAAAAGGTGGCTCTGTGGCCGGGGCGGCTCGGCTTCCTGGGGGCTATGTAGCTAAGCTGGTCGGCTCAGGGTCCTCTCTCGCCGCCCTCCCGCCGAGTTGCTGCTCGGGAGAGACGCTTGTCCTCAAGCCCGCAGCGCCCCCTTCGACGGCCCAGCCGCCTTCTTGCTCGTCCGTGGGAGCGTCCCGGCCGAGCCAAGCCCTGAAGGGGGAGGGGAGGCCATTTTGTCCGGACCGACTCCCCGGAACCGGGCGGAGCGGCTGGGAGAGGCTGCAGGAGCCGCGGTCGCCGCCCTCGGAGGCACCGGACGCCGCCACCGTCGGGGGCTCGCTCACGAGGCCGTTCACAGGTTGCCCGCGCCCTCGGCACCCCTCGGCTTTCCCACGCTTTGCTCCCGGCTGCCCCCAGTCCTCCGGCCTGGACGCCCCGAGAGAGGAGTTGGCCGTAGTGAACAGGAGCGATCCCTTGGGGCCGCCGGCGGCGAGAGCCCGAGCCGCTCCTCCCAATGGCGAAGAAGACGTACGACCTGCTTTTCAAGCTGCTCCTGATCGGGGACTCGGGAGTGGGCAAGACCTGCGTCCTTTTTCGTTTTTCGGATGATGCCTTCAACACCACCTTTATTTCCACCATAGGTAAGACCTGTGGGAGGACGGGGCGCGCGCTCTCTGCGCTCGGAGCCGTTTCTTTTTCCCTCCAGACATCTTGGTTTTCCGTCCTCTACGCCTTTGTTCCAGCGAGTCCCATTCCGAACGACAGCCCCCAAGTTCACTGTTGGAATCGGCTTGGAGCTCGCTGGGGCGGGGTCTTCCCGTGCTGTCCATCCGGTCTCCGGCTGTTGAGTCGCCCCTCTCTCTGCTCAGCTCCTGCTGTTAGATTAGACGGCGTTTACCCACTGTTTTCTCTCTCTCGGCCACTTGCCTGGCCTTTTCCCCCTCCTGTATTTGTGTGCGTTCCCCCGGGTACTGGGATATGATACGGAAAGGACGTGGCGGAGGGCTTGGAATTGAAGCCGGCGCTGGCTGGCTGGCAGGCAAGGGCCTGGGTTTGTACTTGGGAGCTAAGGCAAGAGTCCATATGGTTATGACTTGGAGTGAACTTGCTGGGTGTGTGTTAGGCATCATTAAGGCAAATGCGAGGAGAGCGGCGAGTCCATTGATGTGTCAAACCGTCGGAGGCCCTCGGTGTTTGGGGTGGGACACCTTGCAGGCCGGCCTCTCAGTCCTTCTTGAGACAGGAGGGTGTGCTCCGTGTGTGTGTGTGTGTGTGTGTGTGTGTGTGTGTGTGTGTGTGTGTCCGTCCGTCCGTCCGTCCGTCCGTCCGTCCCCGCCCTCGGACCCTGAGGCGTGAAGTCCAACTCTGTCTCTTTCTATTTTACTCTGCCCCGGATTTACAGGAAACGGTTTGGCCGGTCACCTCTCAGCACTTGTTAAAATACCCTCACCTGTGTCTCAGCATTGCTTAATGTGGAAGTAAAAACTCGAAGTTGGCCTTTTAAATGGGCTTCCCGTTTAGGAGAAGAAAAGGCAGGTGCCAAGAAAAGTCCCTTTTGACCCTGGTTAGAAAACTGAGTGACACTAACACGAATTGTGCTGAAGTCATAGAGTCCAAGCAACACTTGTCTGGCCAGACACACCACGAATTCCGAATTCCTTACGGGACACCTGGTTGCCTCTGTGCTAGCCATTGGGGCAGTGCAATAAAACCTGTCTTTTAAATGTAACTAATGTTGAAACTACTTAAAAAACAAACTGCATTCACTCTTTGAACTCTGCCACATTGTCAGAACTACCCTGATTTCAGCCAGTTTATAGCATTACTGTTTGTAGCTTGAATTTCTTACACCACCTACATCTGCTACTTGATTCATTCTCAGAAAACAAACTAGAATGTAATGAGATGAGATTAGATGAGGGTTATTTGAAATAGATGTTTAGCCTTCTTCCAGGTATGTGTGTGTGGGATCATCATGTTCTGAGTGTCACCCTGTTGTGTCATTTATGTGAGACTGAGAATTTGTTCTCTGCTCTGTGGGCTAGCACTCACTCCCTAGCTCCGCTTGCTTTTAATGTTCCACTTGTAGCTGTTGCTGGGTGGGTCAGGTGGTTAAACTGATCAGCAAATATTTAGTGAGCACCTAATGCTCAGCACTACCGTTCAGGCCTGCGGAGAGAGACGGCGAGCACCACAGACCCTTGAAGGGCCTTGCAGGGAGAACCCTCCCCAGGGAGTGTGAAAGTGCTACAGTTGGAAGGCAAGGGCAGGCCTGCCTGGACTGGGTGTCCAGGAAGTTGAGCCAGATAAGAGTCAGGCCCAAGGCCTGGAAAAGGCCTTCAGGGAAAGGCAACATAGTACAGACTTGAAGTAGTTTGGGGTTTAATTCAGGTGGTCAACTCGAACCTGCCCTTGAGAGGGGTGGAGGGGAGAGATGGAAGAGAAGCAGTAGTGCTGTCTTTGTGGATATGCACCTTCTGTTAAAACTCAGTCCTGTAGGATAAAAGCGTCCTCTTTGCTTGTAGCCCTAGCACTTGGGGAAACATGGGTGGTTTTTGGATGAAGCCTGCTGGGTTAGTCTGGGTTCCACTGGTTACTACCTTTGTAACTTCGGCAAGTCACTTGACCTTTCATTGCCATTTTCCCCCAACCCCCTTTAACTAGTATTACAGTTACAGGGTCTACCACATTAGGGTAGTTGGAGGATTTTGTGGGTTAGTGACAGTTAACATGTGCCAGGGCTTGCTAAGAACATAGTGCGTATTAGCTGTATGTAGAATGTGCTGCTCAAGTGTGGCAGAAGTATTACTTGATGCACTGAATGCCCTGCACACAGTGGTCACCCAGATATTTTGTTAGTGTTCTGCTAAAACAATTTTACATTAGATTCTGACATTTTTGTGTCTCGATATAAAAATGTTTGAGGGGCAGATATTTGGCCCAGTGATTTGGGTGTTCTTAGGAACGCTTACATCCCATTTGGGGTGCCTGGGTGGAGTCCTGCCTCTGCTCTGATTCCAGTTTGCTCCCGCTGCAGACCTTGAAGGCAGGCTGTGTGCTGGGGTGTGCATGCCCTCGTTCCCCTCTTTCTTTCCTGCTTTCCACTTCCCCTCCTTGCTTTTTAGATAAAAAGTAGAGATAAATAAATACAAATTACAAAATCAGAACAAAATCATATTTGCATTCACAAGACCACCCAAGAAAATAGGAACAGAAACATTAAACATTTTTTTCATATTTTGATATGTAGGATATAGAATAATGTAAAAATCATGTACTGATTCTGTGCACAGATTCAGAAGTCTGTTGTGTTTAGCAATGCTATCCAAAATAAATAATAGGAGCTGCAGCTATAATTTGGCTTTTTTTTCTTTTTTTGTGTAATCACACTAAACAGTTAACTCTTTTAACCAAGAGTTAAAAATTGTTAAGATATTTTACATTTTGTTTTCAGTTTGTCTTGGCACTTCAGGGCACAATTGCCACATATGACTAGTGACTTCCGTATTAGATAGTCCATGTCTAAAAGATCTAAAGTAGCTAGTTGGTTGACGAGAATTAGAATTATATTCTTTAAAATAAATAAAGATTTATTTATTTTTTATTTGAAAGGTAAAATTTGCAGAGAGGAGGAGAAGAAGGTCTCCCATCTGCTGGGTTCACTCCCCAAATGGCCGCAACCGCCAGAGCTGAGCTGATTTGAAGCTGGGAGCCAGGAGCTTCTTCAAGGTCTCCCTGTGGGTGCAGGGTACTAAGGGTCTGAGCCACCCTCGGGTGCTTCCCAGAGCTGTAAGCAGAGAGCTGGTTCATAAATGGAGTGCCTGGAACAGGAACCAGTGCACATATGGGATCCTGGTGTACAGGGCAGAGGATCAGATTGCTACGCCAGTGTGCTGCCTCCAGACTATTTTCAGTGTATAATACTTCCAAGACATTTAAAATGTTGTCAGCTGACCAGAGTTTTATTTTTTTATTTTTAAAGGTTTATTTATTTTTATTGGAAAATCATATTGACAGAATGAAGGAGATACAGAAAGAAAAATGTTTCATCTGCTGGTTCATTCCTCAAGTAGCTGCAACTGCTAGAGCTGAGCCAATCTGAAGTCAGGAGCCAGGAGCTTCCTCAGGGTCTACCTCGCGGGTGCAGGGTCCCAAAGGACTGCTTTCCCAGATTACAAACAGGGAGCTGGAAGCAGAGCAGCCAGGATACAAATTGGTGTCCAGATGGGATCCCAAGCATGCAAGGGTAGAACTTTCGTCACTAGGTTACCGTGCCAGGACCAAGTTTGGTATTTTAATCTAGAATTTTAAGTATAAATGATTGTAAGATTTGGGCCCAGCGGCGTGGCCTAGCGGCTGAAGTCCTCACCTTGAATGCGCAGGGATCCCATATGGGCGCTGGTTGTAATCCCGGCAGCTCCACTTCCCATCCAGCTCGCTGCTTGTGGCCTGGGAAAGCAGTAGAGGATGGCCCAAAGCTTTGGGACCCTGCACCCGAATGGGAGACCTGGAGGAGGTTCCTGATTCCCAGCTTGGGATCCGCACAGCACAGACCATTGGGCTCGCTTGCGGAGTGAATCACTGGACGGAAGATCTTCCTCTTTGTCTTTCCTCCTTTGTATATCTGACTTTGTAATAAAAATAAATAATTCTTTAAAAAAAAATGATTGTAAGGGCCCTGCAGCGTGGCCTAGAGGCTAAAGTTCTTGCCTTGAACGCCCCTGGATCCCATATGGGTACCGGTTCTAATCCCTGCAGCTCCACTTCCCATCCAGCTCCCTGCTGTGGCCTGGGAAGGCAGTCGAGGATGGCCCAGAGCCTTGGGACTCTACACCTGTGTGGGAGACCTGGAGGAGGTTCCTGGTTCCTGGCTTCGGATCGGCACAGCACTGGCCATTGCACTCACTTGGGGAGTGAATCATCGGATGGAAGATCTTCCTCTCTGTCTCTCCTCCTCTCTGTATATCTGACTTTGTAATACAAATAAATCTTTTAAAAAATGATTGTAAGATTTACAGTGTATCACTAGATAAAGCATTTAACATTTGTGAAGAAATATTTATCTTGCAGGTGTTCAGAATGACTGGTTGATCAAAATAATGCAGGCTGTCATTTCAGGCATTGATTCTTTGAAAGGAGAATTTAATAATGGATTTGTGATGCTTAGAGTGAGAGTAAAGACTTGCACTTTTTTTTTTCCTGTACTTCAAATTTTCACATGTCTATGTTAGAAATTGTTTGGTATTTATAGTCATATTTGTTACAGAGTTGGGAAAACAAATTGCTAATATGTTCCACATTCACCTCAGGGTGAATCCAAGGGCGCTAGAGTGTTTAGCAGGGGCAGAGATCTTTGTTGTTGTTGATAATGTGTGTTAAGCACCTGGAAAAGTCCCGGTAGTAAATTGGTGTGTGATAAATAATGAATAAAGGCGGGTAGGCAGATAGGTGGATAGGTGGAACAGTATTGGAGCTAGCTTATTTTATTTTTTCTTTTTACTTTCTGAGCATTACATGAGGTGTATTGGGGTCAGATTTTACTTTAGAGTATTAACTGTTTGGCCAACAGTTATTTTAGGGCCACACTAGTGTGTCTTAAAAGTTGAAATCTTATTTGAAGAGTAGTTGCTGAAGAGTGCTA